TTGGTATCAGAGCCGGGACCCGGGCAGGTGTGCCAGCGAGGGCGCTGGGCTCCCCGAGGGGGGGTGGATTGTGAAGTCCCACATCGGCTAGTAAGGTGAACGAAGCATGCCATATATATGGGTGTGGATACCTTACTCTTGAGGACGCGTTTTGGGGTGGTGTTGGCCATTCCCGAGAACAAAGCCGTGAGGCCGTGGGCCAAAGCGGACAATATCCTCATGCGGGTTGCGCGGGCTGTTACACAATATCAAGAAGAAAATCAAACACATCAGTCTTTGAGATTGCAGATGTAATGTCCATTTTTTTAAGGGTCCTCCTATTGTTATTGTCAGCATTAGCCCAAGCTCTTGTTGTAAGATCCTGAATGAACATTTCACAGGCCTTGGCAAACACTATAGGAGCCTCAGCTGAGATCATCCTCACATCTTCATCAAACTTCATTATTTTCTTAATCTTGGCCAAAGGCAAGCTGTGAGTATTGAAATTAGTGGTCTCCTCAATTTCCTTGTACTGCTTTGCCCATACATTATCAAGTTGTTGTTGCAATTGGTTTTGTTGTAGCTGGTACATGTATTGGGGAGGAACATATTGTTGCTCTCTAGAGTAGAATGAAGGGTTAGATGGACCAGCGGTTTGAGTTGGAGGATTGGTATGAGCTGGTGGACCAACCTCTCTTGTTGCTTCACCATGTTGATTTTGATCCATGCTTCTAAATATTCCAACCATTCACAACATAAGCAAAAGGATTTGTGAAAAATGAATATCATATATGTTGCATGAAAAACTAATTGTGGAACTTAAACAGAAAGTGCTAGAGATAAAAATTGACATTGGTCCAAATCATGTCATATAGAGCGAGAGCACATGTACTGCAATTTTATAGTTCTATAGGTCAAGAAGACACCTCAAATACTTGTAACTAAAAAGAATCATAAAATAGAAACATCATATATGCTGTTAGAAAAATAAAATTAGTAGAACAATAAGTTGGATCCATACATTATGTTTCTAGTTCGAACATGATTAAACCCTATCCACAAACCCATTGCATGACCATTTGAGACTTGTGTAAATCAAATCAAAAGTGTCTAACCTTGATTTAGATTAGAAGGATTTTTTTCACTATCCACAACCAGAACCCCAACTAACAAAATTGAGAATTTGATAAGTTCAATTAAAAACTAAAGCTTTATATTGTTATGTGGGCTTATATGTGCAACTTGCAAAACTTTAATAGTTTTATAGAAGAAGAAAAAAACCAATGTCACAAGAAAAAAAAACTAATTATATACATTATACATAAACACAAATATGATGTATGAAATTAAATCTCATTTGATCGTTAAAAAGCAAGAAAAAAACTTAGACACACATAAAAAATATAAGAGAAGATATACCTCATCTTGATTTTGATTAGATTAGGATTTTAGTTCTAAATTAAAGAGGAAAAAAGAAAGGTAAAGTGAATATAAAGGTGGTAATGAAAGTAAAAGAAAGAAGCACCTGTGTTTGTCTTCACACTACAGTATTGTTTTTCGTATGAAGAATGTGCCCTCACTTAAGCTTTTTATAGCTGATTACAAAATTTAAGTAAAATCTATTTAATTTAACCTAAAAATTTTGAAAAAAAAACATAAATTTCTTAAAAAATAATCTATTTCCTAAAAACCAGTAAAATATCAAATGTGTTGTATGAAAATATTATCACAATGTGTAATGGAATCTCTTGCAGAATTATTGGCCTAAATGACTAAATAAAATTAAATATATAAAATGTATGAAACTATTTCTTTTTTTTTTTTGTAAGGTTAAAGGGCATATATATATA